TTGCTCTTGTATATTAAGCTCTTTCCTATACACATATGAGTGTCTATGAATTTGTTTCTCTAGTCTACCCAGACTTACACAATTATTTTTTAAAAATATTTTCATTATTACTGCCTTTGTTTCAGTATCTTCATGAATACAATTTGTCTTTGGGGTTTGGAAACATTACATATAAATCTACATATGTATTTTAACACTGCATGTAGTATATATTCCTAGTGATAACCTGTACCCACCAAAAAACAAACAAAAAAGTCATAAATGAGGTTTGTCCTAACTCAAATACATCGTAAATCAGATTCTAGCTACATATAAAAATCAATTTTGTTTCTATACATTTCCAAAAAAAGCAAAACTCACTGCCATCAAGCTGATGCCAACTCATAGCGACTCTGTAGGCGAGGGTAAAACTGCCTCCACGGGTTTCTGAGACTAACTCTTAACAAAGTAGAAAGTCTCTGCTTTCTCCCTTCGACACATTAGGCGTGAAACGAAGACATCAATTCCATTCGTATGAGCACCAAAAAGAGTAAAATGCTTACAAATAAAAATAACCGGAGTACAAAGGTCACACTCTCGAAACAACAGAAATTGTTCAAAGAAATTAATGTGCACCTAAAAACAAGTAGGGAGCATCCCCTGTCCATGGCCTGGAAGACTCAATATTCCCCAACCTGATCTACAGATCCCATGTAATTCCCATCAATATCCTAGCTGGCTCCTTCACCAGTATTGATAAGCTGATCTTAAAATGCACGTGGAAAAATCACGAGACCTGGAATAGGCTAATCGTGGGAAAGAACAGGGTTTGAGAACCCACATTTTTCGATTACGAAATTCATCATTGTTGTGTAAATAACACACAAACCTTTCTATGCCTGTTGTTGACTGATCCTGTGCCCACCCTGTCCCCGGGTAGTGTTGTAAACACGCTGTGCTAATTGCTGTATGTAAAACAAATGAGCAAGGCAGCTCTTACAAAAATAGCTGGTGACCGGAGTAGTTGACCAAAATACAAACAGAGATATATGTAAGTGTTATTTGGATAAAAAATGTACTGCTACAGAGCCATATCAGTTAAGCCAATAGAACACTGGTAGAAGAACATAGATGTAAATCCTTAGGACAGAACTCAGAGTCCATACAAAACCCTCATTTTTCTGGCCCATTGATCTTTACCAAGGGCCCCAAGACAATTCAGTGGAGATGAGAAACAGCTGGATATCTACATGCAGACACTGTACCCCTTCCTGATACGTGAGAAACTGAACTCCACGTGGATTACACACCCAGACCTAGCCAAAAACAGGGGGAACTCGTCATGGCTTTGGATTTGGCGATGGTTTCTTAGGTAAGCCACCAAAACCACACAGGCAATGACAAAATAAACAAACTGGACTTAATCAAAATTAAAATTTTTGTGCATCAAAAGACACTATAGAGAGAATGAAAAGACAGTCCACAGAACAGGAACAAATATTTGTAAATTACACGAGGGGGCTTCCAAAAATTCATGGCAAAATGGAATTGAAAGATCGTGGAATTTTTCCACAAATTTTTTGAAGTCCCTTTGTCTATCTCATAAAGGACATAAAACAAAACCCGCTGCCATCCAACTC